CTATGTTTTAGTTAGTGACACTTGACCTCAACTAGTTGAAAAGCTGCTTGTCCTGACGTGAGCAATCTTTTTCTCCAGTTATTTGGCCCTATCATGAACAAATGTCCGTTCAAACAGTTATGTACTTTCATAAAACAATGTCAGTATGTGATGTGGACAGAGAAACACAGAAGCCATTTTTGGGAACGTTGTTTCACTTAATTCAAAGCTTGTAAAACATCAAATTTTTGGTTTTGTTTTAAGTTTATTCTACAAACCGTAAGCTTTTGTTTAATGCATAATTTATAGCATTTCCCATTTCTGTTCCAAAGATTTTGTAATTTGAACGTAACCTTTGGAACTCTGTTTTCCTCCATGATGCCTAGCTTTCGACATAGTCGTATTTTCTAATCGTTTGTACGTTGCTGTCATGTTAGTCAATTTTTTACTAATGTACCTTTTTACATTAATCTGGATTGCAATTGGAAATCGAAATAGGAAAAAACCGAGTATTGTTCGAGTCGACTCGTCGTCTCTCGCTCGCTCATTTGCTAACCAATTAGGTGATAGAATAGTTTAAATCTCTCTACCGCATGGCAGTTAGTCTCAATGCGGTCTCAAGCACGCTAGCCACAAGGTAAAGTCAGTTAGCATATCGTTCAAGAACTTAGTCTAAATCAATACCAGTTATCTTCTGTATATTATTGGGTAGAAAGATCAATAACGTAACGAAAGTGGCGATGGAGATTTTTTTATTTGATTGATCCAAAACAAAATGTCTATCTCTTTGGATGACCTTAAAACCATTCCACAAATTCAGCAAGTGCAGAGTGATGCAAATGAAATGAAGCTTTGGATGCACTAACTTAGAAGCTCTCATTCTATTCAACTTCAATCTCTCGATTAGATAAATCTAAAAGCATCTCAAATTCCATTTGTGAATCCACCTATGATCCTGAATCTGGTACCATATTCGAATCCTGTGTTCATTGTTTTGATGACATATTCTGTATCGAGTGTTCGAACCTAGATGGTGCAGCTAAAGCCCACTTAGTTCGGAGAAGACTTGGAACATGTGAATATAATATGTGGATTTCATTCTGCCACAAAATTATCGGAATTTATCTCTTAATAATGCAGTTCAAATATTATTCCAAACGTTCAGTGAATAGTCCTGATTATTCAACATTCATTATCTATGTTTTTAAATATCAAAATCTCCATTTGATAATTGTATCACCTATTCTGGAAAAGTAAATCGAGAATATGGACGATTTAACATAAATGGAATTACAGAAGACCAATTTAAATGTTTGATTTTTATCTGTGGATTAAGTAATCTAGATGTAGAAATCTGCATCAGGAATTTAACGCCCGTTGAGCAGGAACCTAATATAACATTGAAAATGGTCACAACTGAATGCCAACGTCTGTTAAATCTCAAACACGATACCGAGGTGGTGCAAGAAAAGGCGAAATCTTACGATTTCGGGTCAGTAAATGCAGTCAAGTTCTCTAAATCTCACAAACAAGGCTCAGAACAGCTTGTTGGCAAACCACATTCACCATGTTGATTTTGTAAAGCATGAAATTTTGTGAAATTATGTCCGTCCAAGTATCGCAACTGCCTCTATTGTCATCGCATTGGCTATAAAGAAGGTCACTGCCCATGGCATAAACTCCCGTCAAAATGTCGTGAGGAAAATTTAAAGTGACATTTCCAGAGTCAAATCAAGAGCACGTTTGCGACCTTCAACGTATACGGAAGTATGTAAACTTATTAGTGAATGGAAAACCTATTCGCCTTCAGTTAGATACGGCTTCCTACATTACATTAATTTCCCAAAACACGTGGCGTAAGCTAGGATGTTCACACATTCAGCCGACCAAACGTGTTGCTTGAAATGCCTTAGGAAATATAGTGAGACTAACAGCTACAACAAGGTGCAGTTCAAAGAACATAAGTTCGATTTTGTTTGTTATCTGACGAATCGGCATGATTTGGATCAATTAGCCTTAGACTGAACCAAGAAGATTGATGCCTTAAATAGTTTATTACCTAAGGTATGATCTTATAAGCCTTCCTCTGAATCTGTCCTAATTTCTTATAATATTTCTGAATCGAGTTCTTCCGATCTAAAATGTTCTCATAATGATTTCCAATCAAATGGCTCCAATAACATATGCTCTCATAATTATTAATATTAATGGCTTTATTCAATATTGTAATCTGGTACAATATAGAATTATCAGCACGAGTTATTTCAACAAGTTTTTTTACCAAAAAAGAAACAAAACAAACAAAAAACAGAACAGAAATAAAATAAAAAAAGGTTTAGGAAAATCTGAGTTTATACAAATTATCGAATTTGAGACATGCTTAAGAATACAGGTTATTTACTAGGTCAACTCTAACAGCCTGTTCGTCACAAAGTAAATTTGCTAGGTAAGATATTACAGAACTTTTATAGATTTGCTTGCGTGTATGGATTTTAATGTATTTACGTCTCGTTCTACCAGAAGATATACAAGGAGAAAGATATGAATGAAGCGGATGGTTAGTATCTGATAAGATAACAGCTGCCAAGAGTTTGCAAGACTTCAGATGTCTATCCACAAGCATATTAATAATGACTTCAAAAGATTCACCACATACCTTGCAAACCGCCTTCACCACTCTACGCAAAACAGCAAAATCTTTTTCTCAAAAGCTCAGGAAAGAATAGTGGGGAACAATATAGAATAATAGGTAATATGCAGGAATTTACAAATTGTAAGAGTAAATGGTAAGTAATCCCAAAAGCATGCAGCTTCTTTATGTAGTATGTCAAACGGTAAAGTTTTTTCGATAACAGTAAAACATGAGAAGACCAAGAAAGATCAGAGGAAAAAGTAACACCAAGATAATTGACCTTTGACACTGTGTTTATCAAGGAGTCTCCAATGGCACAGGCATTATGGGATCACAAAATAGAGTATAGGTTCTGTCCATGTCTCAAGCTAAAGTTAACAGCTTGACATTTAGATGGATTGAGTAAGAGACCATTGCCAACAGACCACCTTTCAATATGAGATAAAAACTCATTCATTTCTAATGGATGTAAGGAGGTAGAAATCGGCATACATACAGTGAGGTCGTCCGCATATTTTACAAAAGTGTTTTCTGTGGAAGATGGCAGATCATGCAAAAAGAAAGAAAAGAGCAGAGGTGAAAGAACAGTTCCTTGTGGCACACCTACAGTAGATAGTAGAGATGTTGAACACTTTCCTTCAAATACAGTGTACTGTTCTCTTCCAGAAAGGTAGGAACATAACCAATTGGTTATCTAGCTGTCAGTGTCGACGCTGATCAGCTTATTAAGTAATAGGTGTCTTGGAATAGAATCAAAAGCAGAGGTAAAGTCCAAGAAAGCGCATCTAACATACTTCTTACCCTTTTCCAACCCGAACACTATATTGTGATGCAGAACAGCAACGGCATCTAATGTGCTTCTTTTGCATTTGTAAGCAAACTGATATGGATCACAGTGCTCTTTTATTGCAGGTTGAAGTGGTTGTATCAGTAATTTTTCCATTATTTTGAGGAAAGGTGAGGTTATTGCTATGGGTCTAAGTTTCACATTTTTATCACCAGAAATTTTCTTTGGTATAGGAATTATTTTTATCTTTCTCCACATTTTCGGTAAGACATTAGTTGAAAAGGATCGGTTAAAGATATTCGTTAATGGATAACCTAAAACATCAGCACATTTTTTAAAAAGGAGGTTTGGGATACCATCAGGTCCTAAACATTGGGATGAATTCAGAGACTGGAGACATTTCCGTACATCATTTTCAGTGAAACTGGAGACACAATTATTCTTCAAACCCTTGGATATAGAGAGCATGGTGTCAGATGACTGACGAATAAAGGACTTATTTAAGTCACAAACATTTAGCTGGTTATCGCTTCTAGTCTGCCTGTCCTCTGTAATTTCTTTAAAGAGTTTCCACATACTTGGAGAGCTTTTACAAGATAGGAGTTTCTGAGTAAACACAGAGTTGAGACGTCTAATCTCTAGGCTTATTTGACCATTTAACTTACGAACTTCAATAGTGTTTTTCTCCATGTACATCCTTTCTTTTATCCTCCGTAGTCGTTTTAGCTGTGGAGATGTAAGTCGATCAAAACTTAAAAAGAAGGTTTCGGTAGGACACCAAATATCAAAATAGAATTTAAGATAACAGGTAATAACATCCGTTTCGGTTTCGGAATCTTGTTCATTCTGTCCTAAAGGTATTTCCACATCAAAATCAGTAAGATATTGGTTACAGATTTACTGACGTAACATTATTTCAGATCACTATTCTTTATGTTATGTATGCTACTTATTTTGACAGGTATAGGTAGCATGTAGCGCCAATCAGAAGCAAAATACCTACAAGTAAAAGATTGGATTGAAGAGAACAGAACTTTAAACAGTGAACCATTGTAATAGCAACACAATTGAAAGGATCATGAAGCATGTAAAAGATAACTGATGGGAGACGTGTAAACAATGTGATCAATGTAGGGTTTTCACATTGTATGAAGACATTCTGTAATTTTGTATCAAACAGTAAATTGGTTATCTCCATTAAATCTTCGTTCACTACGTTCAAATCACTGAAATGTGAATTCCAATCAATATGACAACTTTGAAATTTCTTTTAATATGACGTCATGTTCTTCATATTATTCACCGTTTGTATCTTTTTATTTACATGATGCTTTTAACTAATCATCAAGTGTGTACGAAATCAGCATACAGATAAATGCATTAATTTTAATGATTACATGATTTTGGATAATTTGTTTTGACGATGTGTTTTAGATCGTTAATAAATCTTCATTTTCACTAGGTTATTTGATGCTCATTTCACATTGTAGGAATGAAGAAGTTTCCGTTTTCCAAATATAAGCAGTAAGATTATGAATATTACAATTACAAAGAAATGTAATTTATTCTAATTGAAATAGTCACTTTCGTATTTAACATAAAATGGCACTGATAAGTCAGCTGTTTCATATTTACTTATTAGATTTGTTACAGTGCAATGAGTGCACTTTGAAAATTATTTATAAGTGATCTTGTTATAATGTGATATTTTATTTCAACAAGAATTTGTCAATTAAAAAAAAATTATTGACTAAAGTGGCTTCTATTTTATGGAAATAAAAATGAAATTAATAATCTGGATTTTTTTAATATTTGTAACAACAGTTTTCTCAGGGCGTGAAGAAGACTTTTCTAGTAAAAAAAATGAAAATAATTCTAGAAAACATCACAGCCGAAAAAGTGAATCAGAAAATAATGATATGGCTGACGTCGGAACCAACTGGAATGTAAAGAATAATATGGATAATGATTTTGAGTCAGCTTTTGGATCAGGACGTTCCATATCTAAATATAAACACATGAAAGCTAGAGCTTACAATGCAAAAGGGAAATTTCAATCACGTGGAACTAGAGGTTATGGTATGGTCTCCTCAGAATCCTCACAATTTTTAATTGAAGAGACTTTGGATAAATACGGTCGACCAAAACCTATTAAATCGAAATTCAAAACTCGTGGGAAAAAAAAGAAATATTCTAAAAAAATTGTTCATAATCAATTCGATATTAAAGGTCGTTTATTTGAAGGACGTAAATATAAACAAACTGGTGATTATCAAGCAAATGGTACTCATGTTTACATCAATATGCGAAATGAAAATGAGATGGATAATAAATTGAAATCAAATTTGAATAGTAATGGACGGCATGATAAAAACTTTAGTGTAATTATAGATACCCAAAACAATCAGGAACGTAATCAGCATATGGCTATATTCAATTCATAAAATATCTCTTGAGGTATTTAAAACTTTTGTTCAAGCAATGAAATTATATCAGATTGAATAATTTTATACATAACAACCTCCTAATTACTGTTTTCTTATATTCTCTATTTCTACTTCAATTTCTCAATAATGATAATCCATTTAAAATAATATTTGGAAATCTGTTTTTCATTTTTTTTTTAAAACAAACAAACAATCTACATGTAAATCTTGTAATATTAACAATCAATTTTTGTTCACTGTAGAATCAAACTAATAAATTTTGAATAGAATAACATGATGATTCATTTGATTTCATTCATTTCTCATAGTTCCACAATAGAACGAAACAGCCGTCCAGTGCTTCTATGTTTTTCATAGTGGTCTACCTTTAGTTATATTCAATTATATAAGTGATGAAACTGTATGTTAAGAAGTTCAATATCATCATTTATTGTTAGAAAATAGTAAAGATTCGTAAAAAATCACAAATTTGGAGTTATAAAAGACATAATATAACGTTTCAATTAGAATATATATATCACATATAATGGCAGATTTTGAAATGTTAGTTAGATTATTGACAAATGTTCATAAATCAAAATGGAGATTTGTAGTCTAGAGGTTGAGAGTTTTATCTAGGCCAAACACTGTCGGGTGTGAAACAGTCATCCAACTCAGACAATGGATGAAGGATTGCACAATATCATGGATCGATCAAAATTTGACATTAACACCGTTAGATGCCTACTCAGTGATCCAAAAGTTATGTGTTTGGGCGTGAGACAAATGGTCCTGAGTTTGAGTCCCACATGAGGGATCATGAATGCGCACTGCTGAGGGCTCCCATATTAGAATGAAATGGTTGTCCAGTGCTTCCAGGCTATTAATGGGAGTCAAGCTTAGATCTACTTATGAATTAAACTCTTAAAAAGTTAATAAAACTTAATGTAAGCCGGTTCAATAAAAGTTAACTAATTCATGATAGTTAACAATATAGTGATTTAAGACTAGTTAAAGTATATAAATGCATGAAATAGAAGAAAATTAAAAAGTAACGTAACCAGTCAACAGACAGAGTTAAAAGATATGAAGTAATCAAATAATTTAATAATATCTTCATCAGACTTAGAGAACAATTTTGTTTGATGCTTAGGTGTTGCTGAAATTTATATGCTTGGAGTTTTTAATATAATTTATTTAAATAAATGTTTTTCTGTTCATTAATTTTTTTTCTTTTAACACTTATAAGAGATACATACACTTATATCAATAAAACTGTACAAACTATTTCACAAAGCTTCTGCTTTAGATGAGAATTTGGTAAATTTACTTCATAAATTTTCAGTATAGTGTTGTGGAGATTGTTTAATTTAATTAAGATCATGAATCAATCAAAATTAGACATCCATTGAAAACCTGAAAGCACTGGATGGTCATTTCATCCTAGTATGGAACTACTCAACGGTGCACATCCACGATCCCGTATGCAAATTTTTAACCAAAGACACTTTGTCTCGCACGCGAATGTTTAAGCTCTAGATTATCGAGCTAGCATTCAAGTGTTAATTTTTAATCTCAATCAATTAAATTGAGGAAGTAAACTTGAATTACTTTTGTAAATCTTTTGCATTTCAACAAAAATTAAAATGAGTAGTAGGTACTCATTTTTTGTATTTATAGATAGATAAAAGTAGTTTTATAGATTATTTTTGGCAAATGTTAGGAGTAATGGTGAGACTAAAATTTATTGGTGGACTTTGAGTGATGGCAAAGTGACCTTGAGTGTATTCACCTACTAAACAGGTTAGGATTTTTTTTAACTCAAAGTTAGGGTTTTCATGATGAATCGGCACCACCTCTAATACCAAAATGCTATTTAACCAAATGGATGAAGTTTGTGTCAGAATAAAAGTGTTCCGATCTTAGGCCTGATTGGTTCGTCCTTAAATTCCAGGCACGCACTATTATACAAACAATATTACGCTTAAGTAGTTGATATGGCCAAATATAAGTGTAGAAGAATAACTGAGTTTATTTGAATAAGTAATGTGTTCAAACGTTAGAATAAATCACGTAGACATGTAACAGTGCCAAATGACACAACGTGCTCAAACCAAGTTTAGGTTTAACTGATTAAAAAAGGTTAATATGATTGTTATTTCAGAAAAATTTTCTCTGTTTCATTGACCCAAACCTACATGAGACTATAGTGGACCCCATATACTTCGAACATAACGATTTACAATCCTATCACAAATTACAATGAAGAATTGATACAAACAGTTGTATGAACTTATAGGACCTTTTCATGTGTAACTACAATGATATTGGTAATATCGTAAATAAACACACAGTATTATTGACGTTTTATCTAAATAAATTTTTGAATATCCATGCTTGCCTGTCTCCGTTTTTCTATATTAGCTTTATCTACTTGAACTATCCATTGATATTATAACCGAATCACACATTAGACTTCACCTTTGTTTTACATTTATATCACCGCGAGCTTAAATTGTATATATTTCTGGTCTATTGAATGTGTTCATGTGATGTATTGTCTTCCTAACTTAATTTTATATTTGATTTGTCGTATATCAAGTTCTTGGTGACCCGAATCGAAGAATTAGTCAAAATAATACACTGAAGAAAACTTTTATCTAAATGAAAGAAACTGGGAGAAACTACTCGAGACAAAATTATCAGTGTGGGGTTGCGGTGATTGTTAAGTTTTTGATTGAGATCATGAATCGACAAATATTAGACCACCTAGGACGAAACGGCCGTCCAGTGCTCCCAGGTTTTCAATGGTGGTCTAACATCCATCGATTCACGATTTCAATCAAAAACAAAATTATCCATTTAATAAATCCAAAAAGTTACAAAAAGTAATGCGTAAAGAATGTTACTTCAAATTCCATTTTTGAGAAAGACTACAAGTTGTCTACTCAGTAGGTAAGTGCTCTTGTGCATACTTAGTCCTGACAGGGTCAAGGAAAGTATAGGTTTAAGAGTGTTTTGTGAGGTGATATAAGTCACTGATTCTGAATAACAGAGAGTACCCTACATTGCACACAACAATGTCTTATTCTCCTGTCAAATGGTGTGGTACGTAATGGAAAGCAATACAAAAAGCATGTAAATGTGCATTTTAATGCTAGGAAACAACAAAAGTAAACAATTAAGTGACATTTGGAAAGTAATCACAATTGGTATATATAAACAATACATATTAAATCTACAGTGATTACACACAAATTACCACATATTCAAGGACAGAGTATTTTAGTAAAGAGAAGGAATAGAGAGAAGAAATTTCTTTTCAATTAACTTTTCATCATCATCTACATATATATATATATATATATATATATATATATATATATATAACAATGCAGCAATGCTAATCGAATAGTTGTATTGCGCAATAACTATACGATGTTACATTGGTTACGAAATAATGTTGAGTAATTGAAAGAAAGAGGTTTACAATAATCAAAGTATTTTATAGTGATGATAAAAGTTCTTAAATTTGAATGTCAATATAAGTTGTCGATGTGAATTGATATGACTTCGAGCTTAAGTCTAGGTTAACACAAGAAGTTAAACTAGATTAATTACAGACAAGTCAGGCCAAAAACCAACAGTCTATTGGTTATACATTTAACATTCTGAAATTACAGTAATTATTACCATTCTATATGCATAGAATTTTCATACAACAAGATTACATGATAAGCTTATACAGAGAATCAACAACTGTGAAGTAGAATGAATTCGTATTATTTCATGAACCTTGTTGTTCCTGCTCTACAAATAGAATATTAATTTTTTGAATACTAATGAGTTTTCATGAGTTTTGATAATTGTCAATTACTTAGGTACCCGTTTCACAAGTTACAGAATATTCATACAGTATTCACACCTACCCTTTAGTCATCCATTTGCATCTTATGTGCTCCTCAATTCAAGTTGGTTTTAGACTGACATCTGTTGCTTCTCTTCTAGTCTCCAAAGTGTTCTCCACAGTCCCTCCGTTTGCTTTTTTATCTCGTGGAACTCTCCTCTTTGAATGTCAACCATACAAACTTCCACGCGCTATTTCGCTACACACTACTTATAATAAATCTTGTGAGTAGCATGCACTATAGTCTAATTGAACCAACGACATGTTGTACTCTGTTTCAGTTCTTGATAGTTTCATGAGAGCTGGTAGGAAAGTATTACAGGATGTGAGGTTCTGACTGCTGACATCCAACATCTCTAAAATAATTCCAATGACACACTGAAGGCCATACTGAGCTTTTTTATGACATATGAACACTAATTTGTCACAGAATAATAAATATTCAGTATTAATATCATGGCTGACCAATTGAATTTTTCATCTTATTTTATATTAGACTGTATTATTTTCATCATGTCTCCGTATGTTTAAAGTTAAAGATTGATATGAAACATTAAATTTAACATGTTTCATGCAAACGATTGATATCTCAATGATAACACATATCCAGTGATACTGGAACACATCGAACTATTTAAAAACTGTTACTTAATTATTAAACAGTTGTTTGTCAGTATAGAACATTTAAAGAACGAACTCTATTAGTTATTAAACTCTATACAAGTCTTCAGTCTTCTTTATAAGATCTCAGTCTTTCTGAAGCAACCCTGTTTGGTTGTACGTTCTCAATACAAAACAAGATAATGGGAAATCTTATGTTTTCTTTTGAAGCTTAATACTTGGTGAATCCCCTCTGTAGAATAGTTACAAGTGTAAACAGAAAAGTCATATAGTAATAAAATCATTGGGATTTAGTAACACCATAACTTTTATGTCCTTAACTATACAAATATCTCGAAATACAATTACCAATTTAGGTACGCTGACTTATATTGCCCAAATAATAACTCATACACCAGCACGAGCAGCCTAGAGTTGCTAATAGTCTTTTTTCCGCCTAGCACTGCCTTTTGAGTCAAAACACCAATCTCGGCCTCGGCGATAAAAATCATATATTTAAAACATACTGGGTTTATATACAAACAAATCAAACCACATCACACCATAAAATAGAAAATAACATTTGTACAAGATCAAGCCAAAAATAGCTATGATTGTGAGGGACTGTTACTAATAAAGTGGGATTATCTCAAGAGTAGTAAATCGAACGATAATAGTCAATAGATTAAATAAAAGCTTATAATTGAAAGAATATGAATATACATATAATTCAGCCACTTAATAATCGTACAATAAGAATATTCGTAAAATACTAGTTCATAAGTAATTCCTAACCTTTATC